CAACTTCGGCACACCGTTTCCAACGGGGATCATGCAAGGCCTTTCCTGGTATACCGTGCTACTGACCAGCTGACTGCGCAACGATCTCTGGATCGCATTGGCACTTCGTGCTGTCACATTTTCGATCAGGCACTCTTGTTACCAGCTTCTGTGTGTGTGTGTGTGTGTGTGTGTGTGTGTGTGCGTGTACTGCCTGTGCCCTGTCTCCCTAATTAAAGCTTTGCGTAGCCCGCCTAGCTTTTAGCGGAAGAGGTTTGCTCTCGCCCCGCCGACCAAAAAATGATTGTGTGTGTGTGTGTGTGTGTGTGTGTGTGTGCGTGTGGCAATTCTCGCTGCCTCGGTGGCGCGGTATGGCACCCTTGCGGTAGTGGACATCCCCCGTGAAAAATATATAGCAACCACATCACGGGGACGGAAGCGGAAGCGTTGGTGAGCCACTGTGGTCGGGGCCCTTCGCATTGGTCAATGCCATCCGCCGATCAGCGTTGCGAAGCACCGTGAACGGCTCACTGCGCGGTGCTCTACGCTGCATCGCGCACCGTATCGGGATTCTTGCCTTGCTCGACATCCGCCCGTGCGAGTGGAGTGGCGATCTGCGCCATGGTAAGGGAGGGGAGGGATGGGGCAGGACCTCGGCCATGCCGCGAGCGCACCCAGCTCGTCCTTCCCCCCCCCTCCCCCCCCCCCTCCCCTCTCCCTGCTCCCTCCCCCTCCCCCTCCCCCTTCCTCCTCGCTGCCCCCTCTCCCTCCCCCTCCTCCTCGCTGCCCCCTCTCCCTGCTCCCCCCCCTCCCTCCCCCTCCTCCTCGCTGCCCCCTCCCCCTCCTCCTCGCTGCCCCCTCTCCCTGCTCCCCCCGCTCCCTCACCCTCCTCCTCGCTGCCCCCTCCCCCCCTGCCCCCTCCCCCCCTGCCCCTCCCGCCGTGGCCGCCAGGGGGGCGGCGGGCAGCGGCGCCCCGCCTGCAGCGCCAAGGGGCCCCGCCTGCGCCTGCCGGGGGCGCGCCGTCGACCCCGGCGGCGGCGGCGAGGAGGCGCGCTCCCCGAGGCCCGCGGCGTTTTTTTTTTTTTTTTTTTTTTTTTTTTTTTTTTTTTTTTTTTTTTTTTTTTTTTTTTTTTTTTTTTTTTGTTTTTTTTTTTTTTTTTTTTTTTTTTTTTTTTTTTTTTTTTTTTTTTTTTTTTTTTTTTTTTTTTTTTTTTGTTTTTTTTTTGTGTGTGTGTCTATGTTTTGTGTTTTGTATTATTATTATTATTGTTATTATTGTTTTTGTTGTTTTTTTTGGTTTTGTTCTGTTTTGTTTTGGTTGTTTTATTTGTGTTCTTTTGCTTTTTTGTTTTTTTGGGTTTGTTTGTATATATATATATATATATAGGTATAAAAAAGAAACATGTAAAACAACGGTTTGTATTTTTGATTTTTTCAGGGCGTGAGAGTGCTCCCCGCCGCCCTGCCGCCCCGGCCCCCCCCCCTGTCCTGCCCCGCCGCCCTCCTGCTCCTGCTGCCCTCTCTCTCTGTCTCTCTCCTCGCCTCCTCCGGCCCATCCCTCTCCTCTGGAGGAAGGGGAAGAGGTCCTCGTCGTCGTCGTCGTCGTCGTCGTCGTCGTCCTTCGCCCTTCCTCTTCTTCTTCCTCTTGCCTCCTTCCACCTCCTCCTCCTCCTCCTCCGCCTCCGCCTCCTCCTCCGCCTCCTCCTCCTCCTCCTCCTCTGAAGCCACTTGTGCTCGAGCATAGTGCGTGAGCCAAGGCTCTGGCTCCTACGTGGTGCTTGAGGGGCACCAGCACCCACGATCCTTCTGTACACTCTGTCTGTTTTCATTGCGACTGTACTCACGGTCGTGGCTGTGGCGAGCTGATTGGCTAAAGGGACGCGTCATCAGGACCAAAGGCAGGAAGATCGGATCTCAGCAGAAGACCGCCATCAGTTCGTCAGCCGAGTCTCCCTCGGACCCCTGTAATTACGAAGAGCGGTCATTGCGGCCGCTTCGAGTGGAACATAATGATGGAGTCCAAGAAGTACATCTGCGCGGGGGTGCAGCAAGGTCATCCTGTACAAGGCGCCTTCTCCGACGTCGTCGGTCGAGGCCGGTGCCAAGCTCGTGGGCGACCTCTCCTCGGCAGGCACCTCTACGCCAGTGGCTATCCTCGAGGCGGAGCTGAAGGTGGTGCAGGACCTGGCAGTGAGGCTCGTGCTGGAGCAGCAGGTGGCGCTCGCGAAGCAGAAGGCTGCTGCTCCGGCTTTGCTTCGGCGTACCCCTCGCTGTCGCCAGAGGCAGTGCGCAGCGCCTCCAGCGCTTGGCGCGACGCCTCTGCCAAGTTCGGCCAAGCCGCGGAGCAGGTCAAGCGCTGCGAGGACAACTTGCGGCGCGCCAAGGAGAAGGAAGAGGAGGCGGAGGAGGAAGAGGAGGCGGAGGAGGAGGAGGAGGAGGAGGAGGAGGAGGAGGAGGAGGAGGAGGAGGAGGAGGAGGAGGAGGAGGAGGAGGAGGAGGCTGCGAGGGCTTTGGCCGGCGCGGAACTCAGCAAGAAGACGACGGCCGCGGTACTGGCCAGGGAGGCTGGGGTTGTGCACGAGTCGCCCTCGGATGGTGCCAGCCAGCCGTCCGCGGCTATTGATGATACGCCGCTCATTGACCTCACCTGGAACGCCAAGTTCTGCGGGCAGGCCGACGACCTCGACAGTGGGGCGGAGGAGAAGGCCGAGCCCAAGAAAATGAGCAGGAGTTTCTCGCCACCAAGGATAGCGTGACAGCCAAGGCGGAACAATTCGGGAAGTGGAAGGCGCAGATGCTAGAGCTGCGCAAGAGGCTGACCGAGCGCATCGCCGAGAAGCGGAAGACCGAGCCCGACATGGCCGATGGCGAGGCCAAGACCGGGGTCCCAGCAGAGGGGGTTCCCCAGGCGGCGCCGAGGGCGCAGCCGCCGCGGGCGCGGAGGCTTCGACGCCGCCAGTGGCGCCTACGCCTGCCGTGCCCTCGGGGAGGAGGAGGAGGAGGAGGAGGAGGAGGAGGAGGAGGAGGAGGAGGAGGAGGAGGAGGAGGAGGAGGAGGAGGAGGAGGAGGAGGAGGAGGAGCTCAGGGCGGAGATGGCTCGCGCCCGCGAGGCGGCGGCCCTGGGCCTCGGCGTGGCCGCGTGCGCGCGGCCGCGAGGCGCGGCGGCGGCCGAGGGAAGCGCGGCGTCTCCGGCCACCCGGCCGCCCACGCCGCCGCCCACGGCTCGTGCTGCTACTCCTCTTCCTCCTCCTCCTCCTCCTCCACCTCCTCCTCCTCCTCCTCGTCCTTCTCCTCGTCCTTCTCCTCCTCCCGCTTCCAGGGCAGGCGTGCAGGAGGGTGAGGCCATCGCGTTGGGCGAGGAGTCGTCCGATCTTGCGAAAGTTCCTTGTCGGTGATTGGCAGCACTTGTCCTGGGGCCGAAGGCGTGGAACTGCTGGAGCGATCACGGCTTCCTTCGGTGCCATCAATTCGCAGGGCCGGTCGAAACCCATGCTGGCTGTCATATTCGTTCGAAGCGGGTGAAGAAGGCACGCGTTGTGAAGAAACGCTTTAGAGAGATCCCAGCTTGTCGGACAGGGAAGGCGGCCTCGGAGGCTTTAGCGGGAAGGGCCAACGAGGGCGGTGAGCTGCTCCTGGCCGACGGGCGTCGGCACATGAGCCGACTCTTCCCGAAGTCGTCTGCTGTACCTAGCTGCTGCGCCGAGGGATGCAACTCCCTCGACGGCTTTCTTCCAGTGTTGGTCCACATGGCAGGTTTCTTGATCGTAGCTGCTTTGTTCTACGCTCATTCATCGGTAGGCTGTGCTGGATAACATCGCACTCGTTTTGCCGAGCTCGGAACGTTCCTCAGAAAGGTCCAACTTCCTTGGTGCGTTGTGGGAGACTTTAACATTGATAAGCAGGTGTTTCGGCGCTGGGCGTTTCTAGAGAAAGTCGAGGGACTCACCCGTCGGGCTGACATTGCGTTCGCTTGCATCCAGAGTTCAAGTAGCTCGCATCTGGATGTTGTGCTGGCCCCTGCATGTTGCTTGCCGTGCACAGCTGCAGTCTCTGCGCTCTCGGACGTACTGTGGAGCCCGCACTGTGCCCTCCACCTCCTCCTCCTCCTCCTCCTCCTTCTCCTCCTCCTCCTCCTCCTCCTCCTCCTCCTCCCCCTCCCCCTCCCCCTCCTCCTCCTCCTCCTCCTCCCCCCGGCGGCGAGCGAGCGACGGGGGGGAAGGGAGAAGGAGGAGGTCTTTTCAGAAGGCGGCGGGACTTCTCTGAAGCTCTCGCGCCTTCTGAGAGGTTTGCCGTGTCCTCGGGGAAAGCTTCGAAGACTTCTCGAAGGCCGGGGAGCCTCTGAGCCCTCTGAGACGGGCCGCCCCTTCTCACTTCCCCCCCTGGCCCGCCGCCGACAAGAGAGCCGACCCTGCCCAGCTGGTAGCGATGGCTACTCGGAGCTCCCGTCGGACGATGCCCCTGACGCCCTCTGCCTCCGACGAGAGAGACCGAGAGATAGATGGGCATGTATATATATATGTATATATAGGGGGGAGAGAGAGAGAGAGAGAGAGAGAGAGCAACATTGAGAACATGCGGCCTGAAGAGGGAGACAAGGGATAAGAGGGAGACAGGGGATAAGTGAGACAGGGGAAAGAGGCCGCGAGGGAACGATTCATGATTTACACCTTCGGGGAGAGAGGTACAGAGATTGAGACAATGCGGCCTGAAGAGGGAGACTGGGGATACTTGAGGAGAGGAACTGATGGAAGGAGGCCGCGCGGGAACAATGAACGATTTAAACCTGCGGGGAGAGAGAAATACATTTAGAAACGTCGGCCTGAAGAGGGAGACAGGGGATACGGATACTCGAGGAGAGGAGCTAATGGAAAGGAGGCCGCGAGGGAACGATGAATGGTTACGAGAGAGAGAGAGAGAGAGAGAGAGAGAGAGAGACAGAGAGAGAGAGAGAGAGAGAGACAGAACAAGAGATGGTGAACATGCGGCCCGAGGAGTGAGACAGGGGATCCTTGAGCAGGCCGCGAGGGAACGAGGACGGATTTTGGACCCGCGGGGAATCCGCCCCAAACTCGCACTTGCCCGCTGCGACCCGCAGACCGAGAGGCACTTCACTTGGATAGCGTGCCCTTAGACGAGGCGACGGCTCCACCGCGCCTGGGGTCCACGCGCGCCGCCCGCGAGAGCGCCGAGCCGTAGGCCCGCGCGGCAGCCAGCGCCAGGTCCAACGTGTGCCCCGGCGCGCCGTCGTCCTTGAGGAGCTCCAGGTGGCAAGAGGACCGCATCTCGAGCGTGAAGGAGTTGAGCACGTGGAAAAGCATCTCGCAGGACAGCAGCGCGCCGCACAGCGCGTCACAGGGTGCCGGGGTGCCGCCCTCCTCGGCAGCCTCCCCATCGAGGCGGGCTTTCTTCGCGGGCGGCTCTGCGGGGTGCGGGGCGCCGTCGCCGTGCCCGACGTACTCCTCGTCAAGAGGCAGGTTCGACTCGAAGTGCGGGCGGTTGGACAAGTCTAGCACCGCGCGGACGCGGGCGCCGTTGCTCTCGCCCTCGGCGCAGCCCATCCGCACGCAGCCCGCCTTGTCGCCCAGCGCCTCGTGGAAGCACTGGCCGAGGGTGATCGCCACGTCCTCGGCGGTGTGGTGGTCGTCGATGTGCCGATCGCCCTCGCAGTGAATGACGATCTCTACGCCCGCTGCCTTGGCGAACTCAACGAGGATGTCATCCAGCACCCTGATCCCTGTCTTGATGCGTGAAGTGTGCTGCAAGGTTGCCCGCAGTGTACTCGCCGTCGTCCACTTCCCTGTCCATGCGGCCATGAAGCCCTGCGGTGGGTCCTCGAAGCGCCACGGAGAGTCCAAGTTGACGCGGATCTCTATGGAGGTCTCCTTCGTGGCGCGCTGTCGGTCCGCCACGCGGGGCTCTGCACAGGGCCCTGCCGGCGCTCGGGGGTCTGCAGACGGCTCTGCGCAGCCGTGGGAGCCTCCGTCGACCATTCGATCCAGCGCCGCGCGGAGGGCACGCGCAAAGCTCTTGAAGGCCGACTCGAGCTGGTGGTGGGCGTTGCCGCCCCGAATCTTGCGAAGGGAGACGTCGCTCTGCATGGCCGCTGCCAAAGCAGTCCAAAATGCTGGCGTAAGGTCAGTACGGTACCGGCCCACCCATCTCCGCCCAGCACCGCCGCCAGCGAACGTGCCGTATGGCTCTAAGGACACGGCGCAGCTGCCCTTCCGGTCCTCCACGGGAAGTACATCGATCGCCGCCTCGCTGAACGACTCGTCGAGGGGCGCGCAGAAGACCACCCTGCCGCCTCGGCATGGCGCTTCGCTGCCGACCGTGGAGACAACCTTCTCCACCAAGGCACGCAGTGCCAGACCCAGCGCGCTGCCACAAGCAATGAATATGTCGCGGTCGTGAGGCCGATCCTTCATGCCTGTTGCGTAGTCCTGCAGCGGGGCGAAAGCGCAGGAGTTCTTGGCATCGCCCCCTTTTGTGCCACACCGCAGCGTCACTCCAACCATGGCGTGGGAGGTGAACTGGTCTATCATGTGATCCAGGAAGCATATGCCTGTACCAACACTGCTCGACAACTTCCCCAGCGAAAAGTCATGGTCCTCAATGGCAGTGACGCGAGCCTCTGCAAATATCTCACCCGACGAAGCCGCAAAGAATGTCATGACCTACGCGCCCTGTGCTTGAGCCCAATGACTGCACGCAGAATAGTCATGCGAGCAATTTGCAGTTGGCCGCCTCAGGCAACTGTTGCGATACCATCAACAACACTACCCGCGAGACCAGACTGGAAACTGGGAGCACTGCCACAGGCAATGCAGAAGATGATTCGTAGACTCCCGCAAGGTCGCTCTGGCCCAATGGCGTGCGCCAAACGGGCAGTGGGACGAGCAGAACTCGTGCGCCTCCGAATTGCGTGCCCTCCCCTTCGCCCTCCTGTGCTGAATCCCATCCAAGTCACACGGTCTGTGAACGGCCTGCCGATCGTGACAGCACATCGCGTGGGCCCACTACACATGATCTCGCCATCGCTCGGACGTCCATTTCCCGTGCATTTTTCGGTTTCGTGCTTGTTTTTTTTTGCTCGATGGTCCAGGATGGTCCTCGATGGTCCTCGCCGAGGAAAAAATGCACACGTCCGAGCGATGCCAAGCGATACCTGGGACTCGAGTGCCGACTTGTCCGTGTGTGCACCACGCGCCAGACTACGGGCCCACAACCCCTGGCACACAGATGAACGGCCGCTCCGGGCTGGGAAGACCATCGCCGAACGCAGTGTGTGCTCTGCGCACCTCGGGCCCGGCGCCACGATTGGCTCCCCCTCCTGCTGGACCAGAAAACGAAGGACACCACCCCACCCGTGGCCCCACGGGGCTGCGCGTACACCGAGAAGTCTGGCGTGGGTTTTTGCGTCGTATACGCTACGGCCCCCGAAGGGCCGTGGCCCAACATGGAGGGCCGTAGTGTGGGGTGATGTCGTTTGGTTTTGTTGGTCGACCTGCCCCCGGCCATGCCCCCAAGCTCTTGGCCCCCCCCCAGCCCCCCCTCCGGTCATCTCAACCATCGCCGGCCCCCAGGGCTGGGCCTCTGATGGCCTCCCCGCCATGGAAGTGAAAACAATAATAGTATGGAGGTGAAGAGAATACTGCGCCCCGAAACATTTAGCACGTGACCGGGATGAAACCAATTCGCGCGAGTGGGTAGACCTCGCTTCAGCATATGGACAGTCTGTGTACTACCTGCAGTATTACCTTGCATGCGCCTGGTGGCCACTCTGCGATTAATTCATCCCAGTGCACGTGCGTGTGTAAACATGTGCGTGTGTGTATATATATATGTATATATAGATATAAAGATGTACGCGTGTTTGTGCATATTCCTGAAGCAGTGCTTGCACTGAGGGGTGTTCACTTCTGTTCTGTGGGACTGGGCCGTGTCTTCGATCTGGCGGCTATGTGGCCGCTATTGCCGTCCCGTCGCCGCCTCGTCGCCGCCTGTCGTCTGGGCTGGTGTGATGGTCTGGCGGCTGTGTTGTCGCCGTCGCCGCCCCGTCGCCGCCTCGTCAACACCAGTCGCCGCCACAGAGGTTGCTCAACATAGAGTGTACATCATATATTGCACCACGAAGATTGCACCGCATAGATTGCACCACATGTATTGCACCACGTAGACTGCACCACATACGTAGATTGCAGAAAATGGGCTCCACATCATAGACTGCGTCACACATGTATATGTATATATCTATATATATATATATAGCATCACATATCTTGTCCCATATATAGAAATATTGCACAATGTGCTTTGCACATCGTAAAGTCCGCAACATCGGTTGCACAACATTTATTGCACCACACATGTTGCTGCACATGTATTGTACCACAACTACTGCTCCACAGAGACTGTACCACGTACACCGCAACATAAATATTCCGCAGCACATATTGCACCACATAGATTGCACAACCGCACATATTGCACAACATGGGTTGCAACATATAGTTTGCACCACACTTGGTGCGCTGCGTAGCTTTCACAACGCGAAGTGTACTACACAAATTACACCACATTGACTGCACAACATGGATTGCACATCATGGATTGCGCCACGTAGATTGCACACACTAGGTTTCACATCATAGACTGCATCACATATTTTACGCCACATATACTGCGCAACATGTATTCCACATCGTAGATTCCACAACCTAGATTGTATTACATGAATTACACAACGTAGATTGTGCAACACGTGTTGCTCCACATCGCACCACACATACTGCTTCACATAGACAGCATCACATAGAGGGTACACTCTGTATTACATCATCTGGAGTGTTCCACGCGTATTCCACAACAGAGATTGGGCCCCGTATATTGCACCACATATATTGCACAACCACATATATTGTACCGCATACGTTGCAACACATCGTTTTCACAACATCGATTGCACCACATGAACCCCGCAACATAGATTGCACACCATGTCCGGCACGACATGGATTGCACCACATCGATTGTACAACCTATTTTTGCAACGTAGGTTTTCCTTTCTGAAAACAAGGATCTGCCCCCCCGGATTTACCCCCCACATGGGGATGTGCAACTTACACGCGATTCTGCCTCATCGTTACTTCTAAGTATGAACTCGTATGGTCCCAGCCATGCCAATATCGACACCCCCTCATCCCTGGCCAACAACTTAATGGGCGCCCAATTCTTAATCTTAATTCGCCGGCCCAACGTGCCAGAGGCGTGCTAAGATCTCCAGCAACTGGTTCCCAATATTTCTAGTTCGCGCGCGCGGGGCGGCCCCTGAAGGTCCCCGGACGAAAAAGACTCTGGCAAGGTCCCGGCAGGAGCCACCAGAGCACTCCAGGGGAGGGCCATTCGCCCTAAGAGGCCTCCAAGAGCCCCCCAAGAGGCCCTGGGGGCCCCCAAGACGCCGCCAAGGAGCCCCAAGAGACTCCCAAGAGGGCCCCAAGAAGCAAAATTCATTGTTTTGCTTTAGGTTTTGGGGAGATTTTGGCGTTTCCACCTTTTCAGCATCGCGACGCCCCAAGACGACCCAAGAGGCCTCCAAGATCGCCCTAAGAGGCCCGAGAGGCCTCCGACAGGGCCCCAAGACGGCCCAAGAGGGTTCCAAGACGGCCCAAGAGGCCTCCAAGACGGCCCAAGAGGACCCCAAGAACGCTCTAAGAGAAGCCCCAGAGGGGGAACACGAAACAACATTTCGAGCCCTCGGCCCTAAGAAGCCCCCAGGAGGCCCCTTTGAAGCCCCGAGAGGCCCCCAAAAAGCCCTCACGAGGCCCCCAAGAAGCTCCCAAGCGGCTCCCACAAGCCCCAAGATGCTCCCGAATGCTCCCAACGGAGCTCCAAGAAACCCCAAAGAGGCTCCAACAGAAACCCAAGAGGCCCCCAAGAAACACCCAACGATGACCCCAAAAGGCCCCCAAAAGCCCAAACGCCAGCGAGGGCACAATACGGGCCGGCGGAATGAGCGAAGCGATTGAATAATTTTTCAAAAACCCCTTACGACAGAAAAACGGGACGAACTGCATACGCGCGCGTCGTCGCGCGCATGCCGAAATCATTCGAAAACCTTGGATTTTGCTCGGGCTTCGAAATCGAGTGCCCCGAACACATATAACAAAGAGTCGTTTCGCATCAGGACTGTTTCAAGAAGCCTGCGCTCGTGATCTTGCCACTTCTGAAGTTCCAGAGATTTTTCAGCTTTTGGTCAACTGCGACCAAACGTGCCCCTCGCGCGCGCAGGTCGAAATCATTCGAACGCTCCTGCCCGCGTGCTGTCGCAAGACTCCCCTGCAACAAACGGGGCGAAGTGCACGCGCGCGCGCGCGTCGTCGCGCGAGCATGCCGAACTCCTGCAGCAACATTAACAACACTGGGTTTCGTACGGATTTCAGCATCGAGTATCCCGAAACATAGAAATCAACCAAGGTTTCGCAACGGGAATTGTCAAAACAACCTGCGCTCGCGCTCTTGCCGCTTCTGAAGAAAACCACAGACTTCCAATACTTTCGCCACATGCTGCCAAGAGGCCCCCAAGATACCCCAAAGAGGAGCCAAGGGGCCCTCAAGAGGCCCCAATGTGCCCCCAAGAAGCCCCCAAGAGGCTCCAAACTGACCTCACGAGGCCTCAAACTGCCTCGGAGAGGCCCCCGAGAGGCTTCCCACGAGATTCCAACCAACATCCACTAGGCTTATATCCCACAGCCCAAGCACGGTGGCTGGACTTGCCGTAGGCAACTGGATTAAAGCAATATGCTCGAATCGCTTAGGCGCGTTCTGTGTAATGGAACGCCATTTTTTGTGGAATATCTCTATGTGGCGAATGCGCCGGACTCTTAGAGATCTCACGACCTCTCGCATCAAACTCCCGTCGCCAGGATCCCCCTCTCGGTTGACCTCCCTGTGAAGAGCCAGCCCGCACCGTGGTTCAGATCACCTCGCGCAGCGAAGACGGCCCGATTCAATACAACGCGAGGGGACCACACTGGACTGGCAAGGTGGTCGCGCACAGACGTCTGCTGGAGGCAGTCCGCGGTCTCAGCCCCCAAGGCGCGGAACGCCCCAGGGGGAGCGCCTGAAATTGCGATTAGTGCTGAATCGGTTAACGATGAACTGGGTTGACACTTGGTCAGGTTGACCACCTCTGGTCATTTTGCGTAGGTGCTGCAGCTGAGCCAAAATCGGTTACAATGAGATTGCGCTGTTTGGCCTGGGGCGGCACTCACACCTGGGTCAACCAACGCAAGAGAATGGCTTCCTCAACCCAACGGTGGAAACCGCCACGGGCTACTCCTGGGGCCTCTTGGGGGCAGCCGGGACAGCCTCTAGGGGCCGTCTCTGCGCAGCCAGCCCTAAAGGCCGTGCCAACACTGGATCCAATCGACATGATCGGGCAGCATCGCCGGACTGGGCGTGTGCAGGCACGCAGGGTGGCTGCTGGCAGAGCGGCTCCTGGCGAAGGCGGTGGCCGAGGTCGCCGTGCGGCTTCGCCAGCCCGAGGAGCGGATCTCAGACTTGGAGGGAGGGGAAGGGACGAGGAGGGAGGAGGGGGAGGATAGGCCTCCAAGGCCGTGAGGTCCCAAGGAGTTGTGCCTGACGGGCAAAGCCTGCCATGCTAAGCGCGGCTTTCGCGGCCGTGGGGTCCCAAGGAGATGGAGGAGGGACCCCGATGAAGGGAGGACCCTCTTCCCTCTGCCCTTGCTGCATTACTCTTGCG